GGACCACACCCCTAAATGCATTGAAGCAACTGCCATGTGATTGGTGGATTAGATAATTGCATTAATGAGAAATTGAACAGGTGTTCCTAATAATCGTTTAGGTGAGTGTATATATGCACTTAACAAGTTTATTGAACATCTTGAACACGAGTCGGATGCATTCCATCTGCCACAGAAGTGCAATACCATGGACCCATATCAAAAAGCAAGATTTTTTGCTTAGCTGGACGAATTTAAGGTACCTCAGTTTAAATGGTCTTTATCTTCATTCACTTACAATTAGCCCGAACTACCGTAAATCCGACAAATAATCCGACTAATCATGAAATCCAATTCTAGCCTGGTTAATTGCCATTGTTAGTTGATAACACATTACGCGCAGTGCTTTATGTCATATAAAACGCCATAGCAACACGTCCACAGATAAGTTGGACGGTATAGTGTGTGCAACCGATTTAATGAGCCACAAATGAGAAGTAGTGCTTAAACAGTATAAAACTACAACTTTCCCTTCTGTTGATAAAAGGCGCAGCCATCTTGGATTCTGAACTTGGCATCCTCTGTGCTGCTCCAAGATATTTCTGGGATCTCCGAGAAACGGGAGCGCACATTCCGACTCGGAATACGAGTTCAGAGGGCAAATGGAACGCACCAAAACTGCCCAAAATGGGTTGACAGAGACATTTCAGGGATTTTGAGTCATTCTGCGCTGCAGATGGGTTAATTGCGTTAAAAATTTTAATCAGATTAATCATGATGATGGATTAATCCGTGTTAACCCGTTAATTTTGACAGCCCTAGTTAAAATACAGCCCTAGTTAATGACACAAGTACTGTCACAAATTGTTTCAAAACCCAACACACTCCTTCCGGAGGCATCATACAGAACAGGCAAAACCAAAGCAAACCAACACCCAGCACAACCTGAACAGCGTCGGCACCCGACCTCAAGGTACCGGGATTCTGAGTCCGGCGGAATCGTAACAGGACTCCAGTACTCACCATCGGCAGCACACAGAGGCAGTAAAAGCAGAGAGAGCGTTAAACCGGTCATGGCAGCCTGCATTGCAGCAATGTCTCCAGGCAAGAGCAAGAGCAAGAGCGGACGGGGGATGGGGGACAAAGTCACTGACCTGCCTGACAGAGGCGGAGAAAATTAAACAACAGCCTAACATGGAGCAGGGTAAATACTCATCAGGAATATCCTGGCAAACTCATATTAGTCACATATTAATTAATCCTTTTTTATGGAAATAAAATGTGTGCATTCCCACTTTACTGTACTTACATGCCTCATCTTTTTTTACCCTATTATGTCTTTATATTTGTACTATACTTGTACCTCTTATTTTATATCATATTCTTGTGTTATATTGCATTCATTTGAGGTATTTTTAAGCTTGCACAGTGAAAGCTATGTCCTGGCACAATAATTTCCCTACTAATTTTTTGGAAAGTTACTTTATAAACGTGATATTTAGGGCCTAATTATTGTGGTCTGGAGGAAGCTTTATTTCTGTGGATGAAAGTATGTTTAGGAGCTTTGAAGCCTTATTGCTGAGCATTTCATGGACAAACTTAGGCTCTTCAGTCTCAGATGTTCAGTCACGTCACGAATGTTGAGTGTAGGTGAGGGCTGTACGGGTTTATACTGTCATAAAAGACACTTGTGGTCACAGGAACATTTTATCGACCCTGAGAGAAAGTGCAAACACCGATGCAGCTTAAATCCGGGAAAACACGTGGGGCGCAAAAAAAACAAAACAAATGAGAGAGGTGATTGGTACACCTTTTATTTTTTTAGGAGACAGGATGGCTCAGTTGGCTATGACCCAGCAACCTTCTGGGCTTAACAGAAAATAAACATGAAGAGTATAAATAGCATGATGGGACAACTAAAAGCAGCCAGATGTTTTTATGTTGAGGCTTGTGGTTCTGTATATTTCGAGTGGATGAGAATAGGCTTTCGGTTACAATGATTTAGTTCAGTGCTTCTCAAATGGTCTAGGCCTCAGGACCAAGCCGGTAGCCAGAAATACATTTTGTGGAGAGTTCAGCCACCCTCCCAACAGGTCCCCCTCGGTAGATTTTGGCAGTTGGAGGGGGTCCCCCATGTAGATTTTGCTGACCAAGGGGCTAAAAAAAATTTTGCGGGGGTTCCTAAATTTTACTACCTGGCTGCCTGCCTGATCGGAAACAACAATTCTGAGGAGGATTGAAACCCATCATTTTACTACATGCCTGCTCAAGACCCACATTATTCCTTGGTCTTGACCCAAATTTGTCGACTGCAGAGGGTGACGACAACTCGTGCCCCGCCAGTTGAGAAACACTGACTTAGACGACAGTGTGGTTTGGTGTGTGCCTGGATGCCAGGGTGGGACTGGCAGTCCTATTGGCTGGTGCTGCATGCAGGTGGATCCAGTCCAGGTAGTTGGACACCCGAGTGTATATCCCATAATTCCCTGGCTGGGCGCAGCCTTTCCCCCAGCTGACGATTCCCAGCAGGAACGAAGTGTTCAGGTAGCGGGTCACCAGGGGGCCGCCGCTGTCGCCCTTGCAGGAGTCCTGCCTACCCTCGAAGTAACCGGCACAGAACATGTTGATGGTGAGCTTGACCCCGCTCTTCTCCACGCACTCGGCGGTGCGGATGCGGGGCACCTGCAGCTGCCGCAGGACCTGCGACGTAGGCCCGTGTTCGCTGCGGCGGCCCCAGCCGCTGACTGTGTGCAGCGTGACGGCCCACAGCTCACGCTCGGCCATCTCACGCCGCGGCAGGCACACGGGCACGGCGTAGGGCGAGAGCACGATGGGCGCGCGCAGGCGCAGCAGGGCTATGTCGTTGTCTGACGTCTTCGCGTTGTAGTGCTGGTGCTTCACGATCTCTGCCACCTGAATGACCTGCTCTGAGCCCTCCGTCTTCTCCAGGTCGTGCTCCCCTGCGTGACATGCAGATCGCAGGCTCAAAATTCAAATCCCACCACCATTAGCTCTGTACGTTAAACTCACAAGAGTTTTCTCTGGTTTCCACCCACAGACTAAAGACATTCAGTCATGTAACCAATATCTCAAAATGACCCTTAGTATGTGACTGTTTGTCCTGCAGTGCACTGGCATCCTGTGATGGCAGGATTTGTGTTTGTGTTCGTTATGGAACATGGTTGCTTATAAAGTTATTGTGGAACCTTAAATTGCTCAGGCAGACGCTGCTCAGTTATCTCATGGAAATCCAGAAAATATTATGTTGGATTGTGCAATATGTCTTCCTGCACAATCACAGACATCTGCAGCATACCTACAACCACCTTAAGGTACTTGGCCTCTTTGTTCTCCAGGCAGTGGGTGGCTGTGAGGACCCAGTCGGGCTTGTAGATTATCCCACCACAGAAGCCCTTGTCAGCATACATCAGCAGAACCTGGAGAAAACAGAAAGAAGACAACACAATGCAATAGCTTCTGTAAAAGGGGAAAAGCAGCTGGTCACTGGGGGGGATCCCTGGTAGGAGTATTAACAAACTGAGTAAAAAAACAATCCTGTACTAATTCCACCATATCGAGTTCATTTACAGAAGAGCCAGAGACGGTGTCCCACTGTATCCCAGGTAAATTAAAATCACCCATAACCATCACATTATTTTTATTACTCATAATCCTGATATCGTCATATAACATTCCGCTTTCCTCTGCAGCTACATTAGCTGCTCTATAACAAACACCGACCGATTTGAGTTTTTAAGCATCCAGTTTTATCCATACAACTTCTGTACTTTTATGTTTATCAGTGAGATCCCTTGACTGCAAGTTTTCTTTTACGTATACTGCAACCCCACCTCCCTTCTTGCCTATCCGGTCTCTACAGAACGTGTAACCATCCATATTATATTCTTCTCCATCACTGTCACTCATCCATGTTTCTGTTATTCCTATAATGTCATAAGAGTCTGATGAAATTAAAGCCTCTAAATCATGAATGTTGTTTCTAATACTCCTAGCGTTGAAATACAGACCACAAAGGGTCTGATTCACATGCAGTGCCAAATCAGACGGGGAAGTAGTGACTCCTCCACCTGCCAGGGACAGTGACCCCTCGGGCACACGGTCCCTCCAACGATCCTGCCGAGGGATTTTCCGTGGTGGTCCCCATTCGCTTCATCATTCTGCAGGACCGGGACCTTCCCACAGGGAAACTTCTCTGCAGAAGAAAGCGTGAGAGACTGACATGGCAGCCACAACCCACACTAACACATCAGCCCCCTCCGAGTCCCAGCGAAAGCCGCGTTGTTCTGAAGCCCGTTACCTTGCGAGAGGCAGTGCTGTCTGTCCACGTCCAGGGCGTAACCATCGGCGCAGGAGCAGCGGCGCTCACCGTCAGCCTCTTGGCAGAAATGCTCACACCCGCCATTACGGTGCAGGCAGTTATCCGGTGTTTCTTTGAACACTAGAGGAAGAGGAGGAGGGGAGAGGAACATGGCAACACCGTGATGCCAAGGCTGAAGGTGAATCCTCGTTATGCAGTTTGAGGGATGAGGCATGATCTGGAATCCATGGTAGCGACATCATAGCCAATGAAGGCAGAACCGAGCCAACAGGAAATGGGTGGAGAAACCTGCGCAATACAGGGGTGGGGCCACAGGACACTGGCTCCAGCTGAAAGCTGATTGGCTCCCCAAGTGCTCCCTCCCTTGTCATTCACTGATTCAAAACTTATCACAAATGATATGGTTGCCCCTCCCTAGAATCGCTCCAGAGAAATTTTCATTCACCAAATTCTATCCGCAGAAATGAGACTGACATTCGTAACATTACCCAATTCACAGTTTCGCCCACTGAAAGGTGGAATGCAGAAGCACGTGTAGGATGATCCTGATTGGCTGGTGCAGGTTCCGTTGTTTTGACATGGATTGGAATGGCAGTGATCTTGAACTGTACACAGAGAACATAGTCCCAAGATATCAGTGACAGAGCACCGAGGTCATCTGTACTGAATAGGCAGTTTAGATTGGAGGCTAGGAGAGAGTTCCGCTGCTCACCATTGTAAGTCTTCCAAAACTCTTCCTGTAGGAAGAAAAAAGGAAATAAAAATGACAATTTCCATGTACTCTCCTGCTTCTAGAGGTTTTCCTAACCCTAACCCTAGCAGACACAAGGAAGCTCACTTGAGGTCAGATTGTAGTTTTATTTCAAAACATGCATTTGTTAAACAACAAAAACAGAATATCTTGTCTAATTGATGGATACAGTTGTCCAATCAGTAATGGAGCACACAGAGTTTCTGATCTTACCGTAGCTTGCTCGTGTTCGAAGGTCTCCCTCGCCTCCTCGTATGAGCATTTCTCCTCCAGGCACTCCCGCTCCAGGTTCCCCATCTTCAACTCCTCGAACCAGCCGGAGTTGGCCCTCTTAAATCGCTGCAGGAGATGGTGGGCCTCATGCCGGCCAAGGAACACTAGCCGGAGACCAAGGTGAGCTCAGCAAGGAGCTAGAGATAAACACTCCGCACCGGCAGTTCATGCAAATGTGTAACCGGCTGCAGAACCATCAGATGATGGCCTATTAATTGTAGTCTATTATAACAATGGAGCTATGGAACCATGGAAGAATTCAATTTTACTAGGAATTTTGAAAAGCAATTCATCTTCCAACATGCTATCATACCGCTGTCACACAAATGCATGATCAACCAGCCAAGCATGGACATAAGGTCAAAATGCGACTGCGAAACAAAAACGTGAGTAAAAATTTGCTGGCATCGTAATCGCATCAGAATCAAGCCCCCACCCAGACAGACCACAATCCTGCCATTCTGGGGTCTCCCAGGCAGCCATGGGGGGATTTATTACCTGCAGCAGGACGGGAGACGCAGACAGCGAGTGAGAGACAGAGGAGCTGCAGCCACATGGTGAATACTGCTGGATCTCTCACAGTACCCTGGATCTCCTTTCTGGGGTCCAAAGTCCGGGGACCCCCTCCCCCATTCCCGTGGTCACATGACCCTAAAGGCCCACGGTCACTCTGAGCAGCTCACCTCTCTAACACAGAGGATTTATTTCGTAAAAGACACTTCATGTCACATGCCAGGATTTAGCCCAGAGATTCAGAAGTTCCTTTTGGGATCAACAAAGTCAATCTTAACCTTGATCATTTTTGTTTATGCACAAAATATGAAACCTTCCAACAAGCAAAACACCCAGTACTACTGAATAATTACCATACATTAAAATTGAACTATATATATAAAAGTTGAAAATAAAATTCCTTTATTTAGTGGTGATATCAGTTATGGCAAATTATTATTTCTACAGTTGACACCCAAATTCCTTTTGTGATACAAAGCAGTAGCTCAGAAAAGACAACGTACCCTTGAATGACATGAATCTATATTGTTTGCGTGTGTATGGTTATAGAAGTACAGCTTACACACATCTGAGGTACACTACAGTAATTCATGATGACACCAGGGGTCCTTCAGGGATCGGCGCCCCCCACAGGTGAGTCTGGAAGAGACCCCCCCCACAAGCCACTACACCCCACCCACCCCAGAAGACTAGCAGAGCCTCTTTACCATTGGTTATGCCACAACTTGAATAGATTAACTGAAACTACCCACTAACATCTGTCTGGAATCTTCTAGAGAAGGTAAATAGAAGACGGATAAACCGGGGCCAATCTACGAGCTGGTGTGGTGACCCTGAGCCTGAGGAGAGCTCACGATGCCATCGATCCAGTTTAGGTAGTTCGCGACTCGTGTGTAGATGCCGTAAAAGCCAGACTGGGCACAGCCCTTGCCCCAGCTGACAATGCCGCTCAGGAACCAGGTGTTCTTGTAGCGGGTGACAAGGGGCCCGCCACTGTCGCCCTGGCAGGAGTCCTGCTCGCCCTCCAGGAAGCCAGCGCACAGCATGTTGGGAGTGAGTGTGAGGTTGGTCTGCTGTTGACACTCCTGCAGGGTGACCCGTGGCACCTCCAGGCGCTGCAGCACCTGCGCCTCGGGGCCGGACTGAGACATTTTCCCCCAGCCGCTCACAACGGACGTGCGCATGGACGCCAACGTCACCCTGATGAAACTGCCCCCCTGTGGTGGGACACACACAGGCAGGACGAACTGGCCGATCTCCACAGCCCTGGAGAGCTGCAGGAGGGCGATGTCGTTGTCCGACGACACGTGGTCGTAGTTCGGGTGGATGGTGACCTTTGCCACCCCCCTCGCCTGCTCTGTGCCCTCTTCCACAAAGCGGATGTGTTCACCTGATCAGACAGACATGTGACTCGACATTGAACGCTGACTCAACTGTCATTGGCAGTGGCAAGTTGGGACAGGACTTACCCAGCGTCACCCGCAACCTTGACGGGTTGGCGCGCCACACGCAGTGGGCAGCCGTCAGGACCCACGTGGCGTCCAGGAGGATGCCTCCACACATGTACTCGCCGTTGTACTCCAGCAAGGCCTGGCGTGTCGGCGGCACATATTAAACCCACATCTTTACAACAATCACCGTTAAAAACGACAGCAGACTTTAAAAACAGAATACAGGTCTATCTATGACGTCTAGCTATGAGGGCTTGCTTTGTTTTGAATGAGCGCCAGAGAAAAGGATCAGTATTATTAATACAGGACCGATTGGGTCTTTTGAGAAGACATTCAAAGCAAAGTGGGTAATATTTCAAAATAAGGATTGCTGGGCTGATTCTGGAATGATGTTTTTCCTGATCATATATGTTAGCCTGTGGTTTAGGCACCAGATCACTCAATATCCGGGCTAAAAAAAGCTGGATGTTTTAAAAAAAAAAAAAAAAAAACAGAAAAACACAACAATAACACACCTGAAACGACAGTCAGGTCTTCATAATCAAAACTTAAACCCACCTGCCAAGGACACTCCCCCTTGGGGCAAACCTGGCCTCTCACAATTCTTGGGCTAAAAGCCTCAGTCACCCTGCCACAGGGAAAGGCAACTTGGGAGGATAAAGAGAGAGAAGATGAAAGAGCCAAAACAAAAAAAACAAAAACAAAACGGGATGCACTCAGACAAGATGAAGGGGGTGAGAAAGGGCCAGACCACCAGCCTGGTTACAGAGGGGTCCATGCATGTGCGAAGTATCCGGACGTCGATCGGACACCTTGCTCCACGCAGCTGGCGCTGTCGTTGGCCAGAGCGTACCCCGCGGCACAGCGGCACTGCGGCGGCGAGTCGGGAACGTCGGCACAGAAGTGCTCACAGCCGCCATTCCTGTACAGGCAACCGAACGACGTCCTCTCAGCTGCAACAACAGGGAGCCCTACACTGGCGCGAGATCAGTCGTCACATTTAAAAGTGCACCCTACCCGGGAAGGTGAACTATAATACTATTACATTAAATGCGGCTAGTTAGATTATTGATTCACTTCACAGATCAACGCACAGAAATGTATCCATCCATCCATTTTCCAACCCGCTTATCCTTCTGGGTTGCGGGGGGTCCGGAGCCTATCCGGGAGCCTACAGGCACGAGGCGGGGAACAACCCAGGACGGGGGGCCAGCCCATCGCAGGGCACACTCACACACCATTCACTCACACATGCACACCTAAGGGCAATTTAGTAACTCCAATTAAACTCAGCATGGCTTTGGACTGTGGGGGGAAACCGGAGTACCTGGAGGAAACCCCACGACGACATGGGGAGAACATGCAAACTCCACACACATGTAACCCAGGTCACAGAAATGTATGTTTATTGCTAATCAGACTACTGGAATGCCCTGTGAGGGCCCAGTCATCCAGAGGGTTGTCTGACTCTAGCCTCGGGCTTCCAGAGTACATTCAGTCACGTGGTCTAAACGTCATTTGCCAATTGGAAGCTCTCAGGATGAAAGAAAATATCTGCCATTGTTTTCCCAAGGGAGGGTCGTTGACATCGAGAGACACTGTTTCTTCACTGGGGGAGACCTGCCCCACCCACACCTACGTGCAGGGATATGTTCTCGCAACACCCTGAGAGCATCTTCATTCCCCCCCTCCCCGCTGTCCTTACCCAGCTGGCAATCTTTCCCCTCAAAGCCATGGGGGCAAATACAGGTGTACGACTTGGTCTGGTCCATACAGGTCCCTCCATTATGACAGGGAGCAGATTCACACTCGTCCTCCTCTGAAGAAGGAAGGTAGAAAAAGCCAGAACCACATGACACTGATCACAGAGGCCATAAATGCCAGTCTATGTCACTCACATTTAACTCACTCACTGTGTAATATGGGAAACAAAGTGTTGGATACATTTACTACTGTATTTATTTTATCTATTAAAATACATCAATCAGCCACAACATTAAAACCCCATGCCTAATATTGTGTTGGCCTCCCTCGTCCCATCAGACCAGCTGTGGCCTGTCGATGGATGGACTCCACAAGACCTCTGAAGGTGTCCTGTGGTATCTGGCACCAAGACGTTAGCAGCAGATCCTTTACGTCCTGTAAGATGCGAGGTGGAGCCTCCATGGATCGGACTTGTTTATCCAGCACATCCCACAGATGCTGGATAAGATAGTGACCCAGGGAGTTTGGAGGACAAGTCAACACCTTGAACTCTTTTTCCATGTTCCTCAAACTATTCCTGAATAATTTTTGCAGTGTGGCAGGGTGAGTTATCCCGCTGAAAAAGGCCACTGCCATCTGTGAGTGCAGTTGCCACTGATATAACTGTGTACTCGGTCTGCAACTATGTTTAGGTAGGAGGTTTGTGTCAAAGTAACATCCACATGAATGCCAGGACCCAAGGTTTCCCAGCAGAACATTGTCCAGAGCATCACACTGCCTCTGCCAGTTTGTCTTCTTCACATAGTGCTTCCTGGTGCCATCTCCTCCCCAGGTAAATGACGCACACATACCCAGTCCATACGATGTAAGAGAAAATGTGACTCATCAGACGAAGCTACTGTCTTCCAGTTCTGGTCCAGTTCTGATGCTTACATGCCCATTTTAGGTGCTTTCGGTGTTGACAGGGGTCAGCATGGGCTCTCTGACCAGACTGAGGCTATGCAGCCCTGTACGCAGCAAGCTGTGATGCACTTTGTGTTCTAAGACCTTTCCATCATAACCTGCATTAACTTTTTCAGTAACTTTTTCAGTTCGGTATGCAAGGGCTCATATTAAGTACAATCGAGAAACTTTAATTGAAAACCTAAGCTGAGCTAAATATATGGAATATTATTTAGCAATTCATAACGCACAGAGAATGTAATCATTAGGACTCTATAAGAAGCTGATGTAAACTGTGCAGAGTGACTTTGTAACCAATTACTGCTGTGCACAATGTGACGAAAAGCAAGTATGAATGAGCACCTTGTGTTGGCTTAGAAGTTTCTGTATCTGTTAGCTATTTTGTTAGCTTTTGATGCATGAATATGTACTTTATTAGTGCTGCAGCTTATCACTATGTTAAAGGGCAAATATATTATTAACCCTCTAGCCAGACAATGTGCAACAAGCAGAAGCTGCCAAGGTTTGTTACTGAAGGAAGGGATTCGCCTGAGTTCATCAAAAGTTTACGGCTGGATATTTAAAAAAACCAACTAGAGATGGTCATGCCAACATTATGTTCAGCCGAGGGACCAAACAGTAAAAGAGATGATTGACAAACTTATCACCTAGGAGTGTGGATCAAGGGAGATCCACGATGGTGAATGGTTGAGGGAATGATGATGCTTAAGTGACGAGGTATTGTTACACAAAAAGAAAATGTTTAAAAAGTGGTGTAAAACAGTATTGGACACATTTGTAAGTGTCCGGCCTTGGTTGTAACTTCATTGTTGCAATAAAGACTGAATCTGAAGATCTACACAAGCGGCTCCTGACTCCTGATTGGCGGGGAAGAAAAAAACCACAACAAAAAAACTGAGGCAACTGTGAAAAAGGCAGAGCAGCAGCTGAACTTCATCAGGCTGCTGAAGAAGGCCGGACTCAGACGTCAGCCCCTCACACAGGCCTATAGAGGACTCAGACGTCAGCCCCTCACACAGGCCTATAGAGGACTCGTTGAAAGTATCCTTACCAGCGGCATCACTGTGTGATTTGGAAATACCACACAGGCCGAGAGGAAATCCCTGCAGCGAGTTGTAAAAACCGCGGAGAGGATCATAGGCTCCGACCTCCCCTCTTTGGACACATTATATACACAGTGCTCTAGGAGGAAAGCTCAGGGCTCAGGTCATACTCAGTGATCAACATCACCCAGTATTCTGCCTGTTCAGGAGGAAGAACTTAGGGTAGAACCTAAGACACCACAGGTCAGAGAGCATCACCACCTACAGCACGATTCTACAACAGCTTTTTCCCAGCCACAGTTAGACTGATTTCTGTGAAATAATTCACTCATCCACCCAGGCCATGCACTCTGTATCCTGTATCTGCATCTGAACACAGTGTGTATCTATTTACTCCGTCCTGCAATTAGTGTGTTTGCGGCTTTTATTATTTATATTTTTTATATTATGTTATTTTATGTGTTTAAAAACTGTCTCTTCTCCTCTGTCTCTCTATTTTATAAAAATAACTAGTGTTACAGTAGCCTCTCCTGTGGGATCAGATCAGAAAGGCTCCCCACGTGCATCAATGAGCCTTGGGTGCCCATGATCCTGTTGTGGTTCACCAGTTGGCCTTCCTTGGACCACTTTTGGTTGGTACTGACCACTGCATACTGGGAAACCCCCACAAGACCAGTTGTTTCGGAGATGCTCTGACTCAGTCGTCTAGCCATCACAATTAGCCCATGTCAAAGTCACACAGATCCTTACACTTGCCCATTTTCCCAGCTTCCAACACATCAACCTCAAGAACTGCCTGTGCCCTTGTCTCATATATAATGGCACCCTTGACAGGTGCCATTGTAACAATATAATCAATGTTATTCACTTCACAAGTCAGTGGTTTTAATATTATGGCTGATCAGTCTAATGGTTGTACATTATACATTAACTTTCCAGCTACCTGTTGGTACACCAATTTAAAAAGCTGATTTATGGTAAGCACTTAAAGAAAATGGAATTAAGTCACTTTAAAGGGTACCTGAATAATTCCTCCAGAACTCTTCCTGTAAAACAAACACATGATGTGAAACAAATATATGACCACATAGGTATGAAAATTCTAATTATCTTTTACTGTGGCGTATTAAACATCACTTGCTAACAAATCAGTTCTAAATTTCTAAATTATTATTATATAAATATCCCCAGTGTATCCTAGGTATCTGTTTTGTTTTTAGTGTTTGTAACCAGGAAGCCGAAATCCTGAAACTTTTTTCATCTATAAAACCAATAGTTGTGAAACGGGCTGTTCTCTTCCCCATATCGGAAAAGCATCTCCTCGTAATGGTTTTATTTTCTGCTCACCAGATTCTCGGGGACAATTAAGATTTCCCGTGCCTCCTCGTAGCTGCATTTCTCCTCCAGACACTCCCTCTCCAGATCGCCCTGCTTCAGTTCCTCCATGATGGAATTTGCCCGTTTGCCTCTTTGCAGGAGCAGCTGATTGGCCTCCGGCGCGTTCAGGAACACTGCACTCGTCCAAAATAAAAATGTTAGAAAGTCTCCGTCAGGTATACAGTGAACCAGTGAGAGATGTGACACTATGCGAGATTCAGACATGATCCCAGGAATATCACTCTGGAATAACCGCGTCGGACTCACCCCCCGGAATCCCACTGCTGGCCTGGATGTAGATTAGAAATAGGAGCAGGTGGCCGATTTTTACTTTAGGAGGCTCCATTATTACGGTTCATGTAGAGGCTCCGAGGATCCCTGTGAACAAAGTTCAGTTTGCTTGTGACGGGCTAACACCCCCACCTTCCCCCATCCAAACATACGGATTTCATTACTGACAGGGAAGCAAACTTTTTGTGTAATTCGGGCCTGGCATCGCTGACCTCCTGTTCTATCACAACTCTACCAAAGGGGGGCACTGTTTGCGTATGTTGTTGTGTCAGGAGAGTACAACGCACTGTGTCTTCCTTAATTACATGCCTGAGCATTATAAGTATTTTGATTGACATAAATACAGAAAACATCAAACAGACAAACTAATGAAACGTACTTCAGTTACAAAATGAGACGATAGTCGAAAAATGATCTTAGGGTATGCTATAAATATATTTCCAATGTAATATAATGTTAACACAGATAATACCAAAATTTTAAATAAATTGAAAGTAGACGAAAACAAAACATGCCAAAAGTGTGAACGGGGAATTCCAGCGAAGAATTATCTTTAGTGGACAGAAGGTGGCGCTATCCAAATTCCAGCTGGGTTTCACGGTGTTATACACAAAGAAGAAGAAGGCGACGCTGCCGACGCGCGCAGTGGATGTTGATTCATTAGTCTTCTTGTTGGGTAGTGTAATGATTTTGAGATGTTTTTATTGAAATTACAAAGGGCAATGGGTTTTGTTTAAATCTGGACATTGACCAGTATTTCTTAATAAGGAAATGTTACTTTGTAGCGTTGCACTTGTATTTAATACATTCGCTTTGTCACACTGAAAGTGTGACTCGGGACTAAACTCATTTTTAAAAACCACTGAAGGTTAAATAAAACCGAGATATAACTGTTTACAAACTAAGAATGCCTTTACCTTTGTAATATTTAATGACTCGAGAGGAATGCCTTAACGCCTGTAGTTGTTAAAACGATGACTAAAGCTCGAGTCGGCAGAGTTTCATTCTTAAATTCGCGTTTCTGACCTCGTATGTATTTTTAAAGTCATATTTCTGTGTCCGAAGAATATTGCAAGTGATGAAAATGGAATTTGAGTCGCCTGAAGTCGGTGAGAAACCATTTATCTCTTGCTTGCGTTTTGTGCTTGCAGCCTTTGCAGAAGCGGCAATTCTCCATGCATTGTGGAAGTGCGTGCCTTTATTTACAGTGTGGGTGATGCTTCCTTTGCTTTGATTTCAGCGAAGGCGAAGGAGTTCTGGAGACGCGTAAATGTAGATCACGTGTTCAGTGAGCTGACCGGGTATTTAAACAAAATGAGGGACATGATTAAAAGCGACGCCGCCACGGACAGAGGTACGGAGCTGCGTCGTGCCGTGCCTTCATCACAGCGCTCATTCTTACTGCACTCGTATATATGGTGCGTTATTTCTGATCTTTCAGAGTACGTCTGGAGCATGACTATGGTGGTAGAATCACAAATCCTACCATTGGACAATGAAATTGAAGAAGTAATTATCAACTCAGGTGAGTCAGTCATGCCTGCTGTTCTGCTTGAAATCTCGACTATTACAATTGTAATATACAGACATCCCACCTTAGGGATAATGATTTCATGGAGACAGAAAAGGGACTCCTGTTAGGGAGGGATGCTTGGCTGGTATTATGGTAATACTGTATACATACTGCCGATTGGGGAGGAGGGGCAAAATTTGCTGACCGGGGCTAGAGAGTGGTGGTGGAATTTAGGACAAGGTTGCAGCGGTACGACTTATTGCCAGATGATTTTACCACTGCTGAATAGCGGAACGACAAATTTCTGGGACATTGCACATCATTTGCGGGTGTCAGGGAGCTGCTCTTGGTTTGCAGAAGACTCCTGTAACTTCTGGGAGAAGTGGGATGTCTGAATATAAGTTATGAGCCTTCAGTCTTTGTGCCTGTAGAGACTTTGTGTCTTCCTGCTTCAGTGCGGTGATGCTGGTTGATCATGTTTGTATGACCAGCACTGCACTGCATGCTTTAACCCAGATATGCTGCCTGCATCTCCCACCCAAATTGACTGCAGTCTGCCAACTGTGAAGGAGGGAGCAGAGAGCGAGTGTGAGGCTGGCAACCTGAAGCTGGAGTGGAGCTCAAGGTTTGCTTCCTGTTAGGAACTAAAGGCCAGATTTTATGGACTGTCTGCTTATGTGTGAGTGGCTTGTTGTTAAACATGTGTCTTTAATCACCACTCTCCCTTTTTATTCTTCCTTGCTGTGATTGGACAGGATGAAGGGGGAGGAGTTTGGTTCAGACACTCATCTTGTGCCGGCCTTCCCTCCATTTAGCGAGGACCCAACTGGCTTTATCATCGCACCCCTGGCTGTCCAATCCCCTTTCCACCCCCATGACTGTACCCGGGCCTGCCTACCCAACCTCCCCCCCAACATTGACCTTTTCCTGGGGGACAACCCCCTCAAGGTGCCCATCTTGTGCCAGTTCCAGCGGCTGAACGCCATGCCGGATGAGTCAGAGGCGGCCGAGCCAGACGTGGTGTACAAGGCCCCGTGCGGGAGGGCCATGCGGGGCCCCGACGATGTCCTGCACTTCCTGCGCGAGACGTGCAGTGATGGCATCCTGCGTTTAGATAACTTCAGCTTCAGTAGTTCCGTCCTGCTGGCGAGGAGCTGCGATCTCGAGGTGGGCGGGCTTCTGGAGGCGGACCTGAGCAAGGGGGCGGAGCTGACAGCGGTCCAGCTGTACAATGAGGTGGACGGCGAGCGTCCAGCAGACTTCCGTTACAGGAAGGACCGCTGGCCGCATGGCTGCTTCGTGGGCCCCACCCCGACCTACTCCGCCTGCTGCGACTGCAAGGACGGCTGTGTGGACGTGGCCACCTGCGACTGCCTGCGACTCACCCTCCGCTCTGGTGAGGCAGCGGCTCTGGGGCATGCAGGCATGCCGGTCCCGTACACTCACAGACGGCTGCTGAACCCGGTGCCCTCAGGGTAAGAGCTACCGTGTGCCGCAGCATTTCTGATTTTCTGTCTGTGCTCATACTGTGATCCCTGAGTTTATTTGCCTGATCAGTGTTTCTCAGTCCAGTCATCAGGGACCCCAAGACAGGCCACATTTTTGCACTCTCTCATCTCCCAGCACAGCCAATCAGAAATACCGAATACCTGGAACTGGCATGTTGGGAGTTGGGAGGGAGCAAAAATGATACTGTCTAGAGGTACCAAAGGACTGGGTTGAGAAACGCTTTGCTAGATAATTTATGTTTAGTTTTATTTTTTATTTTTTAATTGGCGGAAGAAATTTCATTAAATTTGTTTGCTGATGGTTGTGAGATTTTTATTTCTTAATTTCAGGATTCTTATATGTAATGATGTGTATTTGTAATAATTTGTGTTTCAGTTGAATGAGAATTATACTGATATAGAGCCAGTGCGCATGTCCATTAGCATGCGTGAATACATGCTCTTTTAGGGTGACGCATCTGCACTGTGTGTGAGCAGGATCTACGAGTGTGGTCCGTGGTGTGGCTGCGATTCGGACCGCTGCCAGAACCACCTAGTGCAGGACGGCTTGCGTGTCCGTCTGCAGGTGTTCCGCACCCAAGACCGCGGCTGGGGCGTGCGCTGCCGTGACGACCTGGACTCGGGCACCTTCGTCTGTACATACGCCGGTGCGTGTGTATGCATGTGGCTCCTTAGCTTTTAGCTGCCTGTAGCTCAGTGGTTCTCAAACTACGGTACCCATACCACTGGTGGTTCATGAGCTCCCTCTAGTGGTACATAGAGGTATCTCCTTTTATGATGTCATAATGGTGGCATGTGTATCATTTTCTGAGGCGGTGCTCTGTGTAAAAAGTTTGCAGACCACTGATGTAGGTAACTTGGGGCTCCTCCTCCTCCAGGGATACTCTGGGCCGGGCCCACAGCCAGCTCCTTTCCCTCTAAGCGGAAAAGGGAGGAGCTGCCCTCAGATGACGAGGTGGAGGTGATAGAGGAATGGAAGGTGCCCCCTGAAGAATTCGGGACACAGCTGGATGCCTCCTGCCCGGCCTCCCCCAACTCACACGTGCCCATGATCCAGGGCCCCGCGAGCCTGTCGCCACTAGTTCTGGACGAGGAGTCAAGAAAGGTCAGTTTTTAGTTTCTCACGCTCTGAAATCTCTACCCAAGCTTCCTTAGGAAAAAACCCACTTCTTCAACAGAGAAGGTCGACGGAAGTCAAAATCATGACTAATGAATATTCCTGCTAAATCTGAACTGTGCATGAAACTATCCATCAGTCAGAAGCATGGAGCAGCAGTGAGCATCCCTGACTGAACTCTGCCAGATCAGCCCAATATGGCACTCAAACCTTGGTTCTGTCCCAACCCCATTTGCCCATGACTAATATGAACTTGTAAATGGCATTTGACCATGTCAGTATCCTTGAAACACAAAATATACCTCAAAAATAGATTTCTGACATCATAAAAGTTTTTAACATCCAATCTGTAAAAATGATAGGGTGATAATATTGGCAACTCAATCACAGTCCATATGGCACATTGTGCTTGCATATGGCTATACCCTGAACATAAAGAAGCAGAGCCCTCTCTACGTTTCAGGTGACGGATAAAGGTACAAGAACCAGTCCTGGGAAGGGGGAGCTAAAGGAGACCGGGGTCTCCCCCACACCCTGTGCTGTGCACAGAGATGAAGATGCAGGCCGATGCAAAGGATTGTGGGAGGACTCTGAGGAACACCTGTTTTACATGGATGCAACAGAGGAGGGGAACGTCGCCAGGTTCTTAAATGTAGGTGAATATCGCAAGAACACTCCAGGATTGTCCTCACTGTGTCATGACTGTCACTTGTACTGCTCTCAAACCTGCCACATAAGCTCAGGAGTTAGGGATCTGAGTCTGCATTGTGGATATCAATCCCGTGATTGTCAGCGTAATCCTTTGACCGTTGAGTCAAAGGCACTTATCCCTTCCAGGACTACCAGGGATGCTAAATAAACATCTGACTGGCCCTCTGTCTTATTCCCTCCCTTCGGTTTTCCAGCACAGCTGCCAGCCCAATCTCTTTGTCCAGAACGTCTTCATTGAGTCTCACAAGCGCACCTATCCCACCGTGGCCTTCTTCACTTGCAGGTCTGACTTACTCTACCTTACTCTAGCTACCGCTGTAATTAGGGTACTGGGAAGCATTCAGGCCGCTCGGCCGCGTCCATAAACCACCGAGTTGACAGCTTCACGACTCGCTCTTTCCCTCCGTCTTTTGCAGAGAGGTGAAGGCAGGGACGGAGCTGACCTGGAAGTATTCGTATAAGCCGGGGAGCCTACCAGAGCAGGAAGTGCCCTGCCAGTGCGGGAGCAAGAGCTGTCAAGGTGCCATCATCTGACAAGCTGCAGCTGTCACGGAAATGGATAAACAGGAGGCGCAGAAGAGATGGCAGCGGTGGCATGGGCGTGCCCACAAGCCAAAGGGAGAGGAGCACAACATGTTCTGATTGGCCCCGCCCATCCCTGGACTCCAGAGGTTACGCACGGTGGAGATGGAACTCCCTGCAGACGCAGAGAAATGCGGGATCGGCCTTCTTTCGATTTTGAAGTTGTACTGTAGCCTGCATCTTGTTACTTTGTGGCGTTAATAAAATGTATTTTATTAAGTTATTAACTGCAGTAGCAGTAATGATTATAAAATCAGTGCAATGATGGTTAGCTAAATGGCGCGTTTATTATTTTCTCCGTATGACTCCATAAAGAGGAAACTTTTGGGAATTAATGCAACTTTGTGAATAAACTCGTAATATCTATTAATTTCTTTTTAGCCGCTATAGATATTTAGAGATATAAGTAATTATTACCCATCCATTAGATGAGGTTAAATCTGTTATGCTTTGTATATAAATTTGAATATTAACGTTAATAATTACATTTAATATCCTAACCTGGACTCTATACTGGTATGCAACAGTATTACAAACTGTAAATGAGGATTGAAAATGCAATGACCTGTTGCTGTTACATTATTGGGAAAATTAATATTTCCAGGTTAATGTTAAAAAACTATTTGCTATATATACTGAAAAAAAACTAAAAGCAAGGAGAACGAAAAAGAAAGGATGTGCGTGTAACCGCGTCCTTACGGGCCTGAGACGGCTGTCCTCGCTTGAGTTGCCGTGGTGGTAAAGCCGTTCATTTTGGGCGAAGAAGCGAAACGCAAGACTATGAGAATTTAAATGCAAATTCATCAGATAAGTGATATTTGTCGGTAAATTGTTTCTCCGTTATTCCCGGAGGTTAGACCAGCGGACTTATTAGCGGGAGGGACGTGCCGTTGAGCCCCGCCCATAAACGTCACGGCCGACGACCCGCCTACATAAAGGCGCTACGTAAACAAACCCCGCACAACTGTCCAAAGGGGGAGCTCCAAAATGACAGCTTGGGCCGTATTTCTCTTGGTTTTCTGGGTTTACCCGGGCTACCTGCAGGACATCCCTCCGCGGGACGACGTCGCAAGGGTGGCCCGGTTCGTCGCCAACCAGTGCGGCTGGGCGTCCATGGCGACTATCTCCTCGCGCGACCCGGTGAAGGGGCAACCTTTCTCCAACACCTTCTCCGTGAGCGACGGTCCGCTCGGCTCCGGTACCGGCGTGCCGTACATGTACCTGACCCGCTTGGAGATCTCGGTGCAGGACCTGCAGGTACCGCTGCAGACATGACTTGCTGCTCTGCCCTTGCTCTGATCACCTTTTAATTTGAAATATCAGGATGTCGTTCCAGACATAATCGCCAGAAGGGGGCGTTGCTGGCCTTTGCTAAAGTCTTTATTTCGGTCTGGGGAAATATTTATCTCAATAAAGAGTATTATGAAATATTATTTAATATTATAATACATCATCCATTTTGTGGGTATGGTTAACCGTGCACGGTTAAACGTGCTTTTTATCAGCTCTCAGCACATCGTGTGCTGTACAGCCAGATAAGAGAATAGCTAGGCAACCAGTCCTGTCATGTGAGTTTTTGCTTGGTGCTGAGTTGCATAACCTGTAAAGTCTTATGGAAGTTACATTATGGTTCAAAAACCAAAGAAGCTGCCTGTTTCACTTCTCCAGTAGGCAGAGAGCAAGTTGGTGTTCATGTGTGTCTGAGAGAGAGAGAGAGAGACTGTGGGGGTGAGTTTGAGGTCACTGTATGGTTCCTCTCTCTATCAGGTTAACTCCCAGGCTTCTCTGTCCATGTCTCTGGCTCAAACGGACTTCTGCAGAAAGTATGCCTATGACCCGCAGAGCCCATTGTGTGCCCACATCATCTTCTCTGGATCGGTGGTGGAGGTCTGAGTTCTCTATCTCTTATCTCATAGGAACCCTCTCACACCTTCACACAGCCTGCCTGCACAGAGCTGAAGGTCACATGCCTCTGATCCAGTGTGGTCAGGTTAAGGCAGTGTTTACCAACCCAGTCCTCGAGGAATCCTGGACAATCCACGTTTTTGCTCCCTCCCAGCTCCCAGCCAATCAGGAACACCAAATACCTGGTACAGGTGCACTGGGAGATGAGAGGAAGCAAAAACGTGGACTGTCCAGGGTTCCCCGAGGACTGGGTTGGGAAACACTGGATTAAGGCATCACTAGTGTATGAAATCACCAGGAAGATGTAGGGTCCTGCTCTTGGGAAGAAATCAGCAGTAGCCAGTGGTGGATTAACATGAATGTGAAAGTGATGAATTGTCACTCCATACATTTTCCTCCATACATTTTTTATAAAGACTGATTCTGTATAACAGACTATGCATAACAGAAAATAAACAATTACTTCTAAAAAATAATCATAATAAAACTAAATGGCCAATAGGGGCCCCCTTATCACTCTGGGCCCCTAGGCAAGCCTGTTAATAAATCTCATCCTGCTGGTGTAATGTGTTGATCTTTTCCTACCAAATAGGAAAAATGTCTACTTAATGTACTTTAGTAAACATAAGTCGTTTTTTTGTGTGCATAATTAGATTGGTGTAATCTCTCTTTACCACATGTATAATTCAGTAGAAATGAGAGACAGGGTGAGTTAAAATCTGCTCTGTGATGTGTGTATTTCTTAACAGGTTGCCGTATGGTTGCTATTTTGATGGTAATTCTTGAATTCCTGGATGTTGGTTCTGAATTGCTAAGGTCTTGTCTGCGTGGCTGCGTTCAGGTAAATGACACAGAGGCAGTGGTGGCGAAAAATGCCCTGTTTCTTCGACACCCGGAGATGGCAGACTGGCCTTCTGACCATGACTGGTTCTTCGCGAAGATGAACATCACTCAGGTGTGGGTCCTTGACTACTTTGGAGGGGTGAAGACCGTCACCCCAGAGGATTACTATAATGCGAAGCCCTACAAGCTCCACCTGGGTAAGTCCGCGATGAAATGTCCATTAAGGTTTTGTGACAATATTCAGTTGTGGTCAGAAGTTTACTTTCACTCATCAGGGGCATGAATGTCATATTCATTTTGAGCTTTTAAAGATTTATTTGAACTGTTCTTTTTCCAGGGTGAATGATTATACAACATTCATTTTCAATGATTTGTAAAAACAAGAATTCTGTGAACAAGTTTGAACCTATCTGTAATCCACACAGGGTCAAAATTATACATACAGGTTCAAATATATACAGTACATGTATTCACCTAAATCTTTTAATAAGTGGTGCTGAAGGTTCCAGAATGGCCAAGGCCTATTGACTTCTCGTTGGTGATCATGATTGACTGCAGCTGGTAGTTTCTCTTTGCCAGCATAAAAAGGATTTGCTTGACAGCACTCATTGGATTGACTATACTCAGAACAATGGGAAAGTCCAAGGAACTCAGTGAAGGTCTGAGAAGGAGAGTTTACACAAGTTGGGAAAGTCTTTTGGAGCCATTTCTAAACAACTGCAAATTCCAAGATCATCAGTTCACACGATTATACGTAAGTACAAGTTATTCGGATGTGTCACCACTTTGCCATGGTCTGGAAGAAAACCCAAACTTTCACCCTCGGATGAAAGGAAATTCGTTAGGATGTTCAGGAACAACCCAGGAATCACCAAGGCTCAGGGTTGCCATGAACTGGAAACTGATGGAACATCAGTGTCACTGTCCACAGTGAAGCAAGTTTCACATCTCCATAGATAAGAGGGTGCCGACCAAGAAAGAAGCATCTGCTTCAACCTCGACTGAAATTTGCAGCTGCCCACATGGGCAAACCAAATGTCTGGAGAAAAGTTTTGTGGTCGGATTGAGCTATTTGGCCACAATGACAAGAGGTGTGTTTGGAGGAGTGAAGGTCAACCATAGTGATGGAAGCATCATGCTTTGGGGCTGTTTCACTGCCAGTGGTACTGATGCATTGCATAAAGTGGATGGAATAATGAAGGAGGACTACTTCCAAATTCTTCAACTTCTCCTCAGATTAACAGCTAGACAGTTGAATCTTGGACACAATTGGGTGTTCCAGCAGGACAATGATCCCATTCACACATCAAAACTGGTTTTGGAATGGATAAAGCTGGCTAACATTAAGCTTCTGGAATGGCCTTCCCAAAGCCCCGACCTCAACCCAATTGAAAATTTGCAGACAATGCTTAAAAGCCGGGTCCGTGCCAGGAAACCAACCAGTTTAAATTCTGCCAAGAAGAGTCGTCAAATATCCAGCCAGAATTATGCCAGAAGCTTCTTGATAGCTACAATAGTGATGGTCGAGGTGCAACTTACTAAGGGACATTTAACCAAATATTAGAGGGGGTGTATGTATATATTTGAGCATGCATGTAAAATTTTGACCCTGTGTAGATTGCAGAAAATTGAAAATATATTCAAACCTGTGCACTCAATTCTTGTTTTTAAAAATCATTGAAGATGTATGTTGTATAATCATTCACCCTGGAAACAGAACGGTTCAAATAAATCATTAAAAGCCTTAAAGTAATGTCATTCATACCCCTGATGAGTGTATGTAAACTTCTGATCACAACTGTAAATCATAATGCTTTATAGCAAAGTGAAGTCTTGGTTGTTTGAATCTCAGAATCCTTCCCAGTTAAAATTATATATATTTTTTTGCAGGGTTTCATGACTGAAAGGTGTGGCAGAGGAGATTCTTGGAGCTTCAGCCTTTTGGTACTGAAAGTGGCATGATGCCATAAAATGATACTCTGCTGCATTTCTTACACATTTTTAAAACATTAGAAAGTTCCAGAAGCTTATTTGTTAAATCAGTATTTCATTTAAAAATTGCTTTGACAGGGGAAGAGGCCTTTTGGAGAAATTACATGATTTATCTGGAGTCAAAACCACTGCACTGGACTGGCTTTGGTTCTGTTTCCATGGTAACTGATCCATAACTGTGCCTACACACCATTCAGTTATGGGAATCCTTGATTGGCTCCTTTGTTTGGAGTATTTGATGTCATCCTGTCACTGTTCCATTTGCTCTATTTCCTTTAAAGATTTACCTTTAGTGAAGGGGCCTCTTCCCGATGTTGTGCCTTAACTTTTGCTTAATAAAGTAATTTTTGGATACCCTAGTGTACCAATTTGTTTTTGCATTAAATCGAATCAAACTTTATCAAATGCACAGCAGTACAAGAAAACAGCAGTAGATGCAGGTAATGAAATGTGTCCCTGAGATTTCCCTATAGTAAATGAGACATGTAAAAAGAAAATATTTAGAACAGTAAAAATACTTTTACAATAACTGAAATGTGTAAGTGGTCTGTAATAATAGTCCGATCTGCTATTGAGTAGCCTCACTGCCTGAGGGTAGAATCTGCTGTGGGGCCTATTGTCTGTGCTCCCAAGCCATTTCTCTGGCTGCATTTCTGCAAATGTAGGTGGGATTTCGTCAGAATTTATGGTCTCCTCAATAGTAAGAAGTACAAGCAGATACACAATTTTCCATCATGCAGTACCAATGGGGAGATATCAGATCGGTCCCAGATTCATGCTACAGCATGATAATGACCCCAAACATACAACCAATGTCAAAAACTATCTTCATGGTAGAGAAGGTTTAAAAATAGATGTTATAGCCCCCACAGAGCCCCGATCTCAACATCAGTCGGGCAGTCTGGGATTACAGAAAGTGACTGAAGCAATTGAGAAAGTCCAAATCCACACAACTGTGGTTCATTCTCCTAGATGATTGGAACTATCTACCTATCAAATTCCTTCAAAAACTGAGCAAGTGTAACAAGAAGTGATGTTTTAAAGACAAAAGGTGGTTGCACCAAATGTTAATTGGATTGAGGTGTGTTTTCTTCACTTTGTATGTAATTGACTGATAAATAAAAACTGTTCATGACACTTTTTGAAAGCGTCATCACTTTACATCATTTCCGCAAGGTTCTAAAACTTTTGCACACTACTGTATATGAATTATGCATGAAAATTGAATATTTTCACCGGTATCTTTCCCATTCTCGCAGATATTTTCTAAGGTGCCGCTATATGTAACTGACCTCAAGTGCTTATCCCCTTGAACCGCTAGAGGGCGTATTATGTAGTATTAGGTGCTGTTTATTAGAATTGCGCAATAGAATAGTACTAACAGCTTGATTACTGATTTTTATTTAATGTAAAATATTTTATTTGAATTGTCTATGTATTTAAAATTTTGACTCACTGTTAACGGCATTTCCCATTGTTAAATGTTATCAAGTATCTTCTAAATGAGATGCATGAAATTTCTCATGTGTACAAGATTAAATTCATTCAGATCTGTTAAACGATTAGGGCACTTCTTCAGATAAATGAAGAACAGTCGTGTTTTTTATTACGAGAAATAGATAGTTCTTTCTTTTCTATTGTGCACTTGACGTCCTGACCAGATCGAGTGCCATCCGCCCCCACGCATCAGCCCCGGGGTATTGCGTCTAGTTAATCAGGACGCTGTTCATTTGTCATTTACCAGACCACATCAGAGGGTTTGACCTGGTTATGCCGCATCTCAGACGGCACACAGGTGGTCCCCATCCGCTCTCTACATTTTGGTACATGCTGGCATGATTTGTTCGCATCGTCTCATGTTGGCACGGTCTCTCTGTGCCCCCCGATAGACAGACTCTCAATGGAGGCCTATTGTTTTTATGGTTTCAAATGTGCATCATCAGACGAAAGCCGCTGATGTTCTTATTAATGGAGATTTAAATCTGTATACTTTCCGACGTCTTTGAACTTGTCATCCTGACTTTACGTACTTTGCATTATCTTGTTTATGTGCTCTGGGAAATACAAGAGACATCAATTTATTACGCCTTTTAAATCCTGTTATACTGCGCTTTTATATTGCTCGATGAATGGCAGCGGGTTTTTCATACGTGATTCTTGGTATAGGAAAACACGAATTAGCCTTATTTTCTGGAAAAAGATTATTAGCATTTATTTCACTTAATGTGATATTTCACCATTGCCTGTCCATCGATCGACTTGATAAGTTAGACATATTTTGTATAGGCCTACATTTCTAAGATGGAACCTGTGTCGAAGACATTTTGGATTCTGTAATATATTCCTACACCCCTTTCCCCTCTGCATAATATATAAACTTAATACAAGGCCATCAGTATTATATCCCGTATTTTAAAATTAATTGTATTAAAAATCTGTATGAGAAATGGTATTTACAAACAAGTGACAACATTAATATTGCGCCTTTCACGTATTAGAGAGTGAAGACGGGAAGACAGTTTGCTTGAGGTTAACGGCCCAACGCAGCTGTCTGAAGTCCAACTATGGGCCGCTTAACTAAATAAGCAATTATGAAATATGACCGTGAAAAAGGAAGACAATATTCTGTACTTTTCTCCAAATTCTTGCACGTCTTTTTGCACAGTCACAAACGAGCACTGCATTTATGAAATCTACAGAGGGTTAAAAGAAAAAGTTAGACTCTCTTGTGTGCTGCCAAGAAATGCAAATTGTCAGCACGTATCATTAATTAACCTGTATATATGGCTGAAAATTAAGCTCGCCTGAGGCGGATAATTGAGACGAAGGCTGAGTACAAAAAACTGAATGCTAACACACTGGCGACTTGAAAAATGCTTGTCGGACTATTTTATTTATTTGTTTGTAATTAATGTATGTAATTGGAGTTAGGCCAGTTGGCTAGCAGCAAAAAATCTTAAGCTTAAATTCCCTTCTTCCAGTATAAACAATATTCTGTCCATCCGAGAAATGTTTTCATGCTGTTTATAACATAAAAAAAGATGAGGTAATTTTTTTGATCCGAGGGGAAATTTCTTCACGTAATACTCATCTCATATCAAACATAATACTCATATCAAAACCATCATCTCTGGTGTGTGTGTGTGTGTGTGTGTGTGTGTGTGTATATATATATATATATGTTTTTCACCTGTTGATTCAGGTAAGATTTGACTGTATTTTGTAATTGACAAAGTGTCCTTTATTTTTGCTGCACCCTATAACCAGACTTTGTGTTACAAAGCTAACTGCCGTGTACAAATCCTGTGTTCTTTACCCATTACCTCCGGTCAGCGACTTTTATGATTATAAATCTTTTATTTTTGGGTGAGATGTCCATTCTGCAGGGTCTATTACTGACACAGAATGCAGAAATGGTTCAAATGAAGATGAGTCATGATGTATTTATTACAAAAAGATGTCCAAGTTTTTATTGCTGACATTCTATAGACAGACCTTCCTTATCTCAGTGTTGTCCATAATGCTCCCAGACCAAGAAAGACAGCATAGGGGGAAGGAGGGAACTTGCCCCTACGGCCATATTGAGCAGAGGCAGCTCCAACAGGTGGGGCTGCACAGAGGAGGTACTTCCTGTTTCACAGATTTTTTTTCTTCAGCGTGAGCACCAGCTAACTGTCACTCGTCAAGCTTCCCTGGTTCTAGCACCTTGTTGCCTTCGTCGTCTCGCAGCGGCTGAGGAGGAGAGTGAGTCGTGGGAGAGAGATGAACCTGCACAGGACAGGGGTCCTGACAGTCCTCGTTCTTTTCGTCCATTCTGCCGGTAAGATCACTCACAATGCACGGGAAGGAGATGTTTAAAGCCACAAGATTTAGCCTGACTTACCTTCATCTTGCGTTCTCCCCTTTCCGCACTTCGATGCTTCAAGTTATCCATCTCTTCAGCTGTGGATTTATAATCGGAGCTCAAATGACGAAGAAGAAGCGATTTTAGGACTTTCAACCATTTCAAGCTTAGTTTTGAATCTGCTTGTGATCCCATTGTCGCGCCTTGTTCTCTGAGATTGCTTTGGAACCCTATGTTGAAAAGTGGGGCTTATAAAGAATGGAGAATTTAGTAACAATCGCTGGATTTCTTTCAGGGTTCATAGAGATCTCTGTTCATTTCTGAGAAAATGAGCACTAAGTTGTTGTATCCAAAGTCCCCTGTAGTTCATTCTGTAGGTGCCTGGGCATGTCAGTAGAAAAGGCAAGGGAGATTTGTCAGCTCTAGACCAGAGCTAGATCTCTAGATTTCAGCTGAAGCTTGCTGCTCTAGAGCTCATGTGTTTGCTATGCTTGCCATATAGAAAGCTGGTTGCTGTTCTCAGGCTCTCAGCATCTCTCTTCTACTCTGTATGGTCTCTGTGTTGTCGGACACTCGGGTTACTTTTGGCGGGGGCTGGTGTTTCTGCCCTGTGCTATTCCTGTGCTTGCAGCCACGCTCATTATGGGGGGTGGGGGGTACCAGAAGTCAGCACTGAGGTTTCAGATGTAGGGAAGGTGGCGTCTTTCTCTTCTTTTGATCTCCACCATGGCTGGTCTTTCTGAACTGAGCTCCCTACCAGGCTTCCGCTCCCACTGCAGACAAAAACAGAAGCTCCCGCTGTGCAAGGCTACCCCTGTGTCTCATTTATCCGTCTAGGCTACGTTTAAAAGTAATTACTCGGCTTGTGATCACAAATGCAAAAGACCTTTCCTTAAGCTACGCAAGGATATATGAATTAACCAAACTTGACTAAATTCAAGTACTAAACCTAAATATAGTTTTTGGTATTGCTCGTGATGATGGCGTCCCCATCGCCTCGTGGGCCCAAACATGCTTAGCATGAGTAACGATCGTCAGCCTTACAAGGGCTTAGCTATTGATTCTGAATCAATGTGTGTCTCATCCTTGAAACACACTTAACTTTGCAGACTTGATGTCGGATTTTTTTTCTCTTCAGCTGTTTGGCAATGTTTTCTTCTGTTAAAGTTTGACAACACAGCCAACGGCAAAGAGTGACATGTATTCGGGAAACCGAGATCAAGAAAGCTCAGCGTCTTTTTTTCCTGATTGGGTTTCATTGTGATCTGTAAATACACTAAGCCATTTCTACGGCCGCTACCTAGCTAACTAAAGTGGTCTCAAGAGCCGATGCCTTAAGTCCATCAGTGGGAGATGAAACTTATGCCAGTTTGTTTTGGGCAAGGATCTTTCACCCCCTAGGCCAGAGGTCTAGTATCAGCCCGTGAGCCACTTCCGGCCTCCAAGATGCTTATTATTGACGTGACATCGTTTTTTATTCCCTCGAATTCTCTTTCTGCTTAAAAAGTAGCTCAAGATCTCTTAGCCATAGGTTATTTTTGTTTCAGACCCCTGCTATAAGCAATTCTCAGTCTTTCTTCTAAATCGTAAAAATATAGGTTGGCTTTATTATAAATAAACATTTTAACTCTGATTTAAAAAGCACTTGAGAAACAGTGAAATACAATTTTGTATATATCTACAAGAGGTTTCTGTGTTCCGTGTTGCATTTGACGGCTGGTATTTAAAGTATACATGTAGTCCTTGGGTTCCTAACAAAATCTGTTCCTTAAATCTGTCTTTAAGTCCAATTTGTAAGTAAGTTGGAACAATAGTAATATAGAAAACAATACTAATAATTATAATACAGTAGTAATTAAGGTGACGACAAATGGTTCTGTGATGTAACTAGACCTAACGAACGGCTGAAGCTACGCAATGTTTTCATGAGTGTCACAAAGTAGTATATTCATTTGTTATTACGAACCATTGTATTTATCCGAGATTTTTAATATAATAGGCTTTATGGCAATCCGCCCGTAAATACAAGTTGTCCGTAAGTCAGGCAGTCTTAACCCGGGGACAGCCTGTATAGTGTGTTTAATACAGGATATTCAGTTATCGAGTGGCTGTCTTGCTGAAGGGCAGACCGACTACAAAAATCAGCTAAGATTTCAAAGTACTAATTTGACCGCGACTTTTAGCATTTGCTGTCAAAACTATTTTTAATTTAAAAATTAATAGAATTGCCTTTAGGATCATTTATTGTCTTAATTCAGCAATGATTTAACTACATTTAAACATTTACAGAGAAATC